GCCTACTTATGTGATGCTTAGACACTTTCTGACGTGAATAATTTTTAAAATTGGAATGGAAATGGTGGGCATGCACAAATTAGCGAGTGTTTCAAAACTGTGACTTAAATGGATGACAATATATCTTCTTGTAATTTCGAAATTGCCGGACTGGAGTAGTGTAGCGGTTAAATTGCATGTCGATTTAAATCCTCTATTCAAAGAGTTTCTAAGTCCGCCTTGAAATAATTGGCCCTTCCTATGTCTTTCCTATGTCTACGTTGTGTCGCGAAAAGCCTTGCTTCCTGTTAATCACGGAAGTGAGTAGCTAGCGAGGAGATCGCAATTCACTCTTGTTGGAGCACGTGTAACTGATAACGTGTTACAAAGTTCTAAAGAATAAGAATAAGAAGAAAAAATTAGATCACTTAAAATCAACTCCCTGACGATAAATGTAACGTCGACGCCAGAACCTAAGATCACATTTCGGCGCAATGTTCACGAGCTGTGAAAATAGCTTCGATTGGGGGAGCTGGGGAGGGATCGTTCAAAATTGTAGGAGGCAATCTTTCGACTATACGGCACAATGTGAATATTTTCAACGAATCGTATTGGTTTTATTTTCCAATTTCCTTGATTCGTCATTCTTGATTGGGTGGCTAGATATGCATTAGTTGTATCCCTGATACCCTGGCATGGACAAATCAATACTTTTATTTATTACTTTATTAACAGTACAAGCAAGGCGCAACAAAACTTTGGGGCAAGGGACGCCCGTGGCCTCCTCCCCTTCGAGCCTGTTTGGAACTGGCGTTCGGCACTGAAACAGCGAAGAGCGCTTTCGCCCAGCGGTGCTCCAGCGAATATATTGTGAGAACTGCGCCTCGTATCATTAAAACGCTTTTAGTTTTCATACGTATTGCACTTTCCAATATTTATATTTAGTTTATGGCGATATATACAAGCATATAAAAATTATCTCTCTACTCCATTCATTCCATTATTTCATTGCAAGGAGCCATGATTCACGCTCCAAATTTGTAGACATTTCACGCTTAATCACACAAACTTACAATTTTTATTAACAGTACAATTTCCCTTCATTCTTTTTTGTCAAATTAGAAAAGAATTGGGCGCGTTAGTGCATTTTTCAACGAAATAATTTCACCGCGAGGTTTACTCATTGTGTCACTTAACGTAATACATCAGGTAATGAATGAAAACGTGAAAAATAAAAGTTTATTATGAACCAGATCGTCAAACTGGAAAACAGAAAGCGCTATTTTCATTTAACAATATTACCTGATACACATTAATACCTTCCAGCGAAATGTAACAAGATTATATTATCAAGGTAAAGAATACAGGGGTAAAATGGTAGGCGACTTTTCATTTTCATTCCACATTCTAACAGGTGAACAGATGTACAAATAAATTAAATAAAAATATTACTTTCAAGATCAAAATAAAAACAGAAACTTCTTTGTTCATTTTTATGTAAATAAAAGAAAGGTGGGTTCTAAATGAAAGGAGTGTGTCAGCTTGAAAGCGTGTTAGAGCGAGCCCTGCGGCTTCGCATTGGCAGGGTTCATCAGCCGCCGCTTCATTTGCTGACGAGACCGCGTCCCCTCCCCCTCCCCCCGACCTCCGCGGCGCCCCGCGCTCTGTGCGGCGCATTAGTGAATAAGCGAATACCTGAAAGAGGGGCGCGGGCGCGAGAGCGAGCCTCAAATGAAAAGAAATCCCAAGAATGTTTTAATCAAAAGAGCGCCGAACAGAAGGGGTGCGAGACAAGGGGCGGTGCACAAGGGGTGGGAGGGAGGGAGAGGCGAGGCGAGACGAGAGGAGAGAATGGGACGGGAGGCGGGGGAGCACAAGGCGGACGAGGCGAGCCGGTCCAGAGAGGCAGAGCGAGCATCAGAACGAGGGCGAGGGCATCGGCCAGAGGGAGCGTTAGCACGAGGGTACAGACCAGAGCGAGGAATGGGCGAGGTGAAAGCAAGTGGTAACGCCGGAGAGAGAGAGAGAAAGAGAGAGAAAAAGAGAGAGAGAGAGAAAAAGAGAGAGAGAAAGAGAAAGAGAGAAAGAGAAAGAGAGAAAGAGAGAGAGAAAAAGAGAGAGAGAAAAAGAGAGAGAGAAAAAGAGAGAGAGAAAAAGAGAGAGAAAAAGAGAGAGAAAATGAGAGAGAAAATGAGAGAGAAAAAGAGAGAGAAAATGAGAGAGAAAAAGAGAGAGAAAAAGATAGAGATAAATGGAGAGAAAGAGAGAGAAAGAGAGAGAGAGAGAGAGAGAGAGAGGGCGAAGATAAAGGCGAAAAGAGAGTCAAGGCGAAGGTCAAGGAGAGAAGAGAATGCAGGCGAAGGCGGGGATGGAGAAGAGACCGGACAGAGGGGGGGGTAGCAAAGACGATGAGTGGTGGAGGCGCAGGTGGACAGCGTCTGAGGAGGAACGAGGAAAAAACAGGCTCCAGCGACGGCACGAAAATTAGAATGCCCTTCCGAAGGAGTCCAGCGAGAACACGAGTGCAGTGTAGCTCTCTACCGCGCGACCGCGCGCCGGAGCCTTCCGCATTCATTGGTTCTGAGCCCTCGTCTTGGGTGCTTTCTCGCTTTTGTGCGATCAAACTCCGCCTCACATCGCATTCTTAGACATTAATATTATTGTGTATTGTATTGCTTCTCTTTATCTACAGCTGTTAGAATTCTTTAACGCTGCAATTAACCAACTTCATTATTTTGTGCCCTTTTGTACAAAACAATCAATTGTATAGAATGCCTCAACAGCTTTTCGTAGATATTATATATCAGAAAAAACCTTTCATTTTACAATTTTGTATAGGAAGGTTCTTTTGTCTTTCAGTCAAAGTGTTCACTCTTTCAGTCTGCAATGTAATCGCTGAATAAATTAGACCAAAGAAGTTTAAAACACATGACGTTATGTACAGCATTGTAGGCTTTCACGGCCGGTGTCAATATTGTTCATGACATGAAGACATGAAGAATACACGACGTTATGGTTTTGAAAAAACGGAAAATTTCCATTTTTGCCTCCAGAAACATCTTGCGTGGTTTGTTATTTCACGGACACCTTGTTGCATTGTTCAGAAGAATTCGCCCTACAAAAACACAAATTGATCCAACCACAACCCAAAATGATTATTCTTTGCATCATGTTGCTGTCCAATTGGTGGGTTTACCTTCTTCCTCGCATTCTTACAGGTTTGCAGTTCGTGATCGATTTAATTCGTCTACTAAAATCCATCCTGATCAAGCTGTACGGATTTTACGTTTTTTATACTATTATTGCTCACTGAGAATTCACAACTCTTTTTCTTTTTGACATATTTTCGTTTTCTGTGAAGACGACTCAAAACCCCTCGGGGCCGTTGGGCTTCGCGCTTTCGGAGCTGTCCTGCATTAATTGCTGCGCGGAAGAAATCCTCCATTATTACGTAGTCCGTCACGTCTCGCCTCAGTCAGTTGCCAAGAGGACCGCCAGATAGCATCTCCACGTACGCGTCTCTCACCCAGCGGTCAAAATTGGGAAGGAAAAAGAATAAGGGGTACGGTTGCGGACGCTTCACAGGAATTTGACTAGCCCTGTCAAGAATGTGGTCTTACGAGAATTCTACGGGAATCGAACCCGGAACCTCAGTGGTGAAAGGCAAGTGACTTCGCCATTGAACCACGAGAGGATTTATTTATTGACTTTGCATTGCTGTATACTATATCTGTAGTTAAGATATTCTGGACAATTTTGGATTAAAAATACACGAAATATGACATACACCCAGATGTCATTCTTTGTTTTTCCCACAAATATATACAATGCATATAAATATATTATTAGGTCCTGCAGTGTGCGTTACATATGCAGAGCGGTAACTTGCGGGATTAAAAACTAAAATGTCTCTGCGTTTGTTACCAGCCACTCGTCGCCCGCGCGAATCTGAATCTCTAAAGAATTTGAAATTCAGTTCGCCTCTAACCACCCGTTCACGCAGCGGGGTGTCGGCATTATTCCAGCCCCTCCGCCTCACTTGGCTGTCAATTCGTACATAATTCGATTGATTACATTCGATTGAAGGAGCATGATGTCGGAAATCAGTTAACAAGTAACTATTTGTGAAAAAGCACTGGTTTTGGGTTGGTTACCCATCTACTTCTCGACACGTTCAATCAACGTGCCGAGAAGTAGATGGGTAACGTGTGTTGCGGGTTGCACGGCGACGCCTAGTCAGTTTTTTTTCTTCAAAATAATGAAAACCTTAAATTACATTTGTCACTAAAAGAGAGGAATGTGGAGTTAAGATATTGAACAGGCAACATACTTTTCTGAAGACTTGAAAATGATACACCAATTGATTAAATTACTTTTTTCTACAATATAATTATAACATCAGAAGTATTACGTACCCCAAACGCTTGCGTGAAGCTAGTCTGTTTTGAAAGATATTTAAAAAACGTGACGTCGCCGTGGACAAATACTTTGTACTAGCGTACCTTACGTTACAGTACAAAAGACATTTTCATAAAAAGACGGCGATTGAAGATGGTGCTTTGTTGTTCATAAAGAGTACAGATCAAATGTGTAATTATTCACAACATTAGAAACATTTTTATACCATCGAGGAAAAATTGTATTTCGTGAGCGACATTCTGTGCTAAGATGGCAAAGTCACTTATTCATGTCGTGAGACACAAATTGAGATAAGTTTGTCTTCTTTGTCAATGTTTAGAATTATGGAAAAGTTGTATATCCCTTGTAATTTATCAAAAAACAATAGTGGCAAATCGCAATAAGTCAAAAGCCAGAGAGTATTTTTTCATGCCATTTTGATGCTTAAAATTGCTATCATGGAAAATTTAAAAAGAGACGTATAACATTTTGCCATTTTTGCCCAGAATTATTGTTTCTTGCATGTCCAATAATATAAATCCTATTCACATCATTGCAGATGCAATAAAAATAGCTACAACAATGCTACAATAGGCGCTTCGTAAAAAAGCAAGTAGACTCACATCCTTGTAGATGCGGTACTGGTCGATGGCCCAGACGGTGGGCACGTGCGTGGTGAGCAGCTGCGACAGCGACACGTGCTTGTTGCAAGCGCGCGCGCAGATGAGCCGCGTCTTGCCCACGGCCGTGTCCCCCACCACCACGCACTTCACCAGCTCCTGATGGGGTTGTTCATTATCCATTATCAAAAGCCATAGCCTAGGGCGCAGCCTGCAACACGCGAACACAAAAAGATGCACTTCGCACTCCGACCATAAAAGCGACACAATTAAAACTAACGCGGTGCTGGGGAAAAGCACGAATATAAGGCGACACGATGAAGGCGAAATAGCATAGAATAAAATTACTGCAATTGTTTTGTGGTGGTGCTCTTCGAATTAGAGATCCGAGGTTTTGCGTGCTCGCTGAACACTCCATACGTACTTCTGACTTATTACCTCAAAAATGTCATTTTTTGGAGTTGTGTCACTGTTCGTGGGTAATGCGAAAAAATTACAACTCACTAGTAACTATCTTTTTATTACACTTATTTACGATATGCTCTACTGAAAACCAAGAATAAACAATTTACATTATATAAATACACGTCAATAAGATTTACCTCATGAATTCAAATATTACAAAGATTACATTCAATATATTACAAAATCGTATATTTAAAAGTGTTGGTGAATAACATATTAGTGTTATATTTTGCAATAAACTATACGGAATAATTATGGTGAGAAATTCTCTGTGTTATTCTGTAATTTCATGATACTTTTACTTCTGTTTACATTTCTTCTTTAACTGATGATTTCGTCTCATTACTTTTGACAGCCACGAGCAATTGCAATACAACATAAAAATTATATAT